AAAGACAGAGAGTCGGAAAAGTTCTTGGCTGAGCTAGTTATAGACTACTCAGGTGATTTCTGTACCTACTTACCAACCGAATAAACCCCTTTTTATTGTTACATGTTATTTGGCGTTTGTCTTTATTAACCCCAAATTAACATCATAACAGTTATTGACTATTTTTTCCTCGGTAGGATTAGATAGGTTCGCCTTTCACCCAGTTCACAGTCCTACACGGTCTTTTGAACAGAAGTAGAAGTTTATTCTTCGTTTCCTGTTTAGGAATGGCGTTCTGGTTCCTTCTAAAGTCTACTTCAACCCTATATTTCTAACGCCTCCGATTGAACTCTTAAATTTTATTCACTAATTAAATCTCGACCTTTCAAGTCTAGAGTTAGTTATCTTTCCTGTATAGGCGCCAAGAACTTCATTTTTTGTCCTTTCTTACGCTCATACGGTACGACACAGTAACCCGCTATCTTGAGTGGCTCCTAGGGCTTGTGTTCGTTGAATATTAGTAAAAAAAAATGTATTTTTTAGTTTCTTTACAATTGTTGATGCCTATTTACAGAGTATTGTTTTAGTTTCCTTTTTCTTTTTGTCAGTTCTCTGGCGTTCGTTTATTTAGCTACATACGCAAGAACAAACGAACACCCCAGCATTAGAGTTCTCAGATCTCCCAGTATCCCTACAAATCGTTTTAAAATAAAGGCAAGTGAGGAATAAATGAATTATGAAGGCAGAACTTCACATGTTCAGCTGTTTTTTGTTTTTTTTGGGGTTTTTTTTTAATTGTTTTTGGAGTTTTTATAACGCTGATTTTTTTTTTTTTTGCTTGCTGTATTTATCTGCTGCAGCAAGTAGGGAAAGTAAGCCATGTCTGCAAGTGATGCTAGGTTGATTTAAAAAGCGGAAAGGAAATCGACGCGGTGTGTTCAATTTTTATGAGTCTCTGAAAATAAAATAAAAATTACAAAACAAGAAAGAAAATCGATTATTACATGAAAGGAGTTGGCATTCCGTTTTGAACGAGATTTTATTCTTTGCATAAGCTTAGGATTCGTTACTCTGAATTTATTCATTTTATAGCTTTGCTATATGTGATATTCTAAGCGTTCTAGCGCAGACCTCGAACAATATTCCCCAACGTTGAACTCTTTTATTTTTTTTGAACAAAAAAAAACAAAAAAAAAAAATAGAAGGTTTATTCTTTTACCCATAGATTTACAACGTAACTTCACCAATTATAACGACATTGGTTATCCTTGCGGACAACTGTAAATATTTATGTATGTGTTAATGTATTTGTGTATTGGGATGGGGGAAATATGTGCACAAATGTGTCCATGCATATGTCTACATATTTTTTAGGGAGAATCTCTGTGTCTGTAAGCATGTTGAAAGATGATTTGATTTTTGATTTTGATTTTTTTTTGCTTTTAATATTAGCTACGAAAACGGCCACAATATGCTGTGTTCGGAAAATAAAACATCCATATAACTCTAGAAACATACACACAACCCATACACCTAATTTAGCTGAAAACATAAAATCATCCTTGATAATGGTTAAAAAAAAGAATAGCCGAAAGCGCTCGGAATTACAGAACATTTGGACAGTTTCTACACACTCTGTGTCCAGAAAAAGCAACACTTGTTCGAACACAAGAAAAATTAAATAAAAAGCTTAATCGTAGTACCTTGTCTGCCATCTTTAATGAGACACACACACACACACACACACACACACACACACACATATCAAACACCCCTTGTCTGGTTGAATAGATTTCTCTGTAACCTTGGAAACGTGAATTATGATTTTTTGCTGTGCCTTTAAAACCCAGTAAATTTAAAAGTTACTCCAAAATTTGCTTGAGGATGAAATGGAATTAATGTCTTTTATTTAATTACAAAATTAAATTCGGAGGTTTCAGCTTCCATTTTTGAAACATGGTTAGAACTGTGTAGCGAAAAAAATATTTTAAATCAATTAATTTATAATATATATATATATGTGTGTGTGTGTGTTTGTGTATTTGTGTTATTGTGTTTATGAGTATATGTACCATTATCGAGTGTGCATCTGATTCTATGTGCGTGTGTGTGTGTGCATAGGTAGCCATTTATGTGAACACATATTTGCCTGAGAGCAGTTGGTTCAAGTTATTGAAAATGTTTACAAATATTTCGGGAAGCAATCTAATTACTAAAAAGATGACAGATTGATATATGTTCTATAATCAGTTTTATCAGCTACCAAACACCATGGTACATCATTTTGCACACATGATATTTAATTGAACTTCTATTATATAATATGAAGTCAAATCCGCATTTCAAGAATTAAACGATAATCCATTACTCAAAAGTTTTTTTCATATTTGCTTTGAAAATCAGTTGTCATTCTTGGGAACAACTGGATAAGATTATAAGAGGACTTAGGAAATTAGTTGCATAAGCTATTTCTGTATGTTCAATACTGACTGTGGACACATTGGATGTAGCCTCTTAACAGGTTAATTTCTAATAAGACCAGAGAATTTGAACGCAGTAGTTCAAAAACTCTGAACTGTTATGTAATATACTTCCCTATACGACAGTGAACTCTGGACAATTTCTTCACAGATGAAAAGGAGACTTGAGGTAACAGATGCGCTTCTGCAGAAGGCTGATGAGAATACCATGGGCGAAATACGTGAGCAAAGAGAAAGTTTTATGAAAAATGAGAACAAAATAAAAACGTGTTCTTAAAATCGAAAAGAGTTGAAATTTCTGAAACATACAATGAAGAAAGTCAACCTGGAGATTTTGACACTCACAGTGTATATTGACGCCAAGAGAGCAGAAGGAAACACTGAGTAATCTATTTAACGATTCTCTGTAAATAGGTAGCAAACAGGGAACAAGTGAGATAATGGGACAAATTAACTCAGAGCTACATAGGATAGGAAACTATGGAGAGGTTTGGTCGCCCACGTCTCGAAAGTTCATGACACATTAAGAACAAGATATCAATCTCCTATGCAAAAATGGTTTTGTATTTTAATTTTCATATTTCATATCTTTCTACTGTGATATTTCATATGGAAGGTGTTTCAACTGAGTAATGTAAATTTGACTCTCAGATTTATCAAACAATTAAATGGCTTTCTGGTGGCTGAGCTAAAATATGAATTCAACAGGATGATTAAATACGTAACCAGTATTAAAACCATCATAAATTTAACATATTTTGCTATTTATTTAATTTTAGCCAAAGTTTTAAACGAATAATTCCATAAAAAGAATTCACGGAGACAGATCATGATCGACATTACATTTATTTTTTTTTTTTTGAAGGTCCTAGTTGACAGGAAAGCATGAAGCCAAAAAAGGATTCTGCAAGCGAGGTATGCAATAAAAGAAACCATTAGCAGAAAACTTTACGCTTACATCTAGGAATTTCAATATTGAAATTATGAGACCTATCTGCCAATCTAGTACTGCGCTTAAATCCATGAAGAAGAGGTACCAAGGAGGAAAGTTCATCAGAATAATTACCGTGAAAATATTTATAGAAAAGCAAAGGGCAACTACATTACGTTGTTGGGAAATTGAGTGAAGCCTAGATGCCAGATCAGGATCGATAACGTAGCAGATCCTGCTTTGGATTTGTGAAAAATCTCTAGATATGAAACAGAAGCACTATACCAGATGTGGAGGCAATATTCGATGCAATGACAAATGGGAGATTTATAAATATGCCAAATAGATTCTATCGAGAAAAATTGTCTCGCACGGGACAGTGAACCGACCCTGTTATTAGCAGACTTAGAAATTGAATCAGTATAATTATACCATTTCATGTCAGTAGAAAACGTTTCGTAACATTTACCTATGAGGTAATATAGTATTAAACATTCACTTGTAATATTGTTCATATGTATCATACAATTAAAATACACTAATTTACTCAACTTTTAATACTAACTTAAATCAAGTCATTTCAAGAATTAAAGATACATACCGACACCTTTATGAATACGCGTAACGCCCACAACACCAATAAAATAAAGTAACTCCAGACGCAGAAATGTTTTTACATAAACTCGTGACATCTACATAATCAATGAAAACATAGAATTTAATAATAATATATTATAATAATATAACTATTATATAACATTATTATATAATATAATACAATATAATAATAATGTAATAATAAATTCGTGACGTCTACACAATCAATGAAAACATAGAATTTAAAATTCGAAATACAACTTCGCCTTATTCCGCTATAGCGAAACAGTTCAACTTTATCATAGAAAACCCCACGTCAACTTGTAAACAATTTTTTAGAGTTATTAATTTACTAAACTGCTAAACTTTTAAAACAACAGATGCTTCGACTTTTTTAAGGAAAAATGAAATAAAACCAAATATAAAATAATATCAAAGAATAAAAAAAAAAGTTAATTTTCCCATAATGCAAACCGGAAAGAGTTTTTGATTACATGTGCGATTTTTTGATCTCAGTTCGGAATGGACAATTGTTCTCTTCCACTTTCCAACGACATCGTTCGGATATGTTTTAGCAACCCCCACTGATAAAGTAAGTGATTTGGTCATCCTAACTCAGCACAAGGCTGACTTGAGCTCGACCATCTTTACCCGTTCTGATCCTTACTTCCCATAATAATTTCTGAAACAAAAATGAAAATGGGCATACACAAAAGGCACCGAGAACTTTGTTTCAATAGAGTTACCATAAAAGGAATAAACGTCCGTGGCAGAAACTCAAATTTTTGTATACCTCTTCTTCCATCTTCTATGTTTACATATTGAACACGCACCAGTGCACCTCCACGCGGTGTAATGGTTAACAAGCTTGTCTTGCTACATCAGTTTTGACTGAGTAGTGAGTTCGATCTTCATTGGGTGCTCCATGCTTTCGGCTGCGTGACAAATCTAAGCTACACTAAGAAAATCACCACATTGAACACGCATTTTCACCTAAAAATACACAGAAACCCCTCGTTCGATCACCGAAGTTAAGCATCGTAGAACTAGATCAGTACTTAGATGGGGTGCCGCTTGGGAACACCTATACTGTAAGCAGACTCCTACTACCGGGATAAACATTGGGCTCCTTGAGGTGGTGTAATGGTTAGCAAGATTGTCTCGCTAGAACAATTACGACTGAGTTGTGAGTTTGATCTTCACTGGGGCGGGGGCATTACTTTCGGCTTTGTGCCACATGTAAGCTATGCTTAGAAAATCACACAAAACCTATAAACCTTGTTAACTTCCACAGTTTCTAATTTTGCTTTGGCTTTTCTTTATGTTAAAGTTAAAAATGGTCGATAATAGCAATACTCCAAAAGCCAGTTATTTGTCTGTCATAGTTGAACAAATATTATGCTGAAACTAACACGAACTTTAGAAAGATATCTTTGCTCAAACTGGTGAAATAATCGTTTTTCATTATTAAACTAAATTTTACAACTAGCACAAGAGTGGAAATGAAATCGACGTGGTAGGTCTCATATGAAAGAAGTTTGCAAATTTATCCAAAACTAATATCTGACGCTGGGTTCTTCAGCTTGATGTAATTGTCAGCAAGTGTGATTTATAGCTCATTAGCAATGAATACGATCCTCACTGTGTGGTCTATGTTTATTCCCTTACAGAAAACCTACCCTAAAATTAGCTTATGTAGCTTAGGTTTGCAAATAACTTTACATAAAAGTTATTCTCATAAGGAATTCTTAAAATATATAGAATTTATTTATTAACTATAATTTTTACAAGAAATGGATATGTGTGGAAAGCGTTTAGCATGAGATTTTATTTCAAATTTGAATTGGACACCAGATTTCGCTACCAGCTTCCCGACCTGGGTATGATGATAGCTACATCCGCGCCCTGGGTAAGACGATAAACTACGTCCAACAGTAAGGCCTCTGATCAGGAGGTTTTGAGTGGCGTGGGACTACCTTTTAATTGCTGGTGTTCCCAGGTCCACTCTGACATGAGTAGGTAGCACCTACTAGGATCCCAGCTAAGGGCAAATAGTTAACACCCGAAACTGGGGTCAAAACACTATGAAAGTGTAAAAATAGGATTTAATACCAGAAATACTTTGTAAAAAACAATTATTATCCGAAATACATTTCTGGAAAAAAAAAAGATATTACCAGCTATAGTTGGTTTGAAGAAAAAATATTAGCAGAAAAAAAATATGTCGGCATTAAATAATCCATTGAAGTTGATATGCCGTAAAACAAACCAAACCAATCCAAGCTACCAGCTTCATGAGCCGCCCAGGAATCGGGTCAAATTATTTCACCAGGAACTCTTGTGGTATGAAAGAGATAACTACATGTATTCACCCTTGAAGTTCTTCCAAAGTCTTAGTTTGGTATAGTACACTTGCTCCTTTAACCAACCCCAAAGAAAAAAATCACTGGGTTTTAAGGCAGAACTTCTGGCTGGTCACCCATACATACAATAGGGAGTTCCTTTTAATCACCCTGTATATCACGGTAAACTTAAAAAGAAACTTAAACTTATATTTTCATCATTATTCATACAAAACCTCTTTTTACCGAAACACAAAATTCCCGCCAGGCTTGTGAAATCACGAATAAAAGCGCATACCTTCACAACTCTTTATTCGGCATAGTCAGGCCATATGTATTTACCCAGTGACCGAATTATCTATCATTCAAAGATGAGACGAGACGACACATTTTATGAGCCGAGTAATGTTACCTGATCTAAGAGTTGTCTCACCGACATAACAATTATAGCTATTTATACATTGTTTCAGTTTGACATATTCCACAGTCTTGTCATATTCTTGTGGAAAGCGTTCATTGATATAGTTCAACGTCTGATCTCGCTAAGCGATTTCAGAACACACACTATGCAGGGTGCGATAGATATATTGTCGTCTCAATGACGCAAAAATGAAAATAACACCGACATCTCATTTAAACAGATATAATTACCAAAATTACACAAAAATATCTTGAAATACGAAAGAGAAAATTTATGCAATAAAATCGACATTGGCTTCCGCCACGGCCTCCAGACGACTTCAGAAAGAGGAGGTTTTGAGAGGCGTGGGACTACCTTTTAATTGCTGGTGTTCCCAGGTCCACTCTGACATGAGTAGGTAGCACCTACTAGGATCCCAGCTAAGGGCAAATAGTTAACACCCGAACTAGGGTCAAAACACTATGAAAGTGTAAAAATAGGATTTAATACCAGAAATACTTTGTAAAAAACAATTATTATCCGAAATACATTTCTGGAAGAAAAAAAAGATATTACCAGCTATAGTTTGTTTGAAGAAAAAATATTAGCAGAAAAAAAAATGTCGGCATTAAATAATCCATTGAAGTTGATATGCCGTAATGTGATATGTGAAATCACGAATAAAAGCGCATACCTTCACAACTCTTTATTAGACGCTAAGCGATTTCAGAACACACATTATGCAGGGTGCGATAGATATATTGTCGTCTCAATGACGCAAAAATGAAAATAACACCGACATCTCATTTAAACAGATATAATTACCAAAATTACACAAAAATATCTTGAAATACGAAAGAGAAAATTTATGCAATAAAATCGACATTGGCTTCCGCCACGGCCTCCAGACGACTTCAGAAACTAGAAGTCTTCTGGAGTGCCTTCTTGTTTAAACTGATTAATACTGTCATAATCCTTGTTTTTATTTCATCTTTGGAATTCAAATGAGTTTTGTTGATCTTTCGCTCAAATGCGTCCCACACATAATAAACATGGTGGTTCAATCTGATACAGTTGATTATTTTTTTTTTTTTTCTAAATCCAGTTTCTGACTTTTTCACAGGAGCCACTCTGGTTTCTTAAATACAGAAAAATATCAAGGTATAGATAATAACTTAGATGAAGTGGTAACACTTCACTTCAAAGTATAACTAAAAATATTGTTCTATATACAAAAACAGCTCACAACATATTCTGAATTTTGCTCCTAAAAATTTTATTAGCTAGGCCAAATAACTTTTTGATGCATTTGTTTTACATTTTGCCAATGTATCAAGTGGCAAACAGTCTTTATTCTACTAATTCTGAAATCTTCTTTCCTATTATTTCAGAAGTTAGGTGGCAAGATGTAAGGGGTGATGTGATCACAGAAATTGTCTGATAGATATGACTGGGTCCTCCTGCTTGTGTGGCATGGTGCAGATCCATGTTGCCAGACATAGGGTCTTTCAGCAGCCACTCTCTTGACGCCAGGAAGCACTATCTCCGCCAGGCACTTGATTTAGGCCTCTGTGTTGAGTCAGAGGCCCTGTGGGAAGATGCATATAGGCATAACGCCGTCATCACTGGTGATAACTACAAACAGATTCGTAATCACAATTAGGCTCATTCAAATCTTTCTGAATTCTCTGCACTGTTCTCAGATTGACACCCAAACACTATGAAATGTTCGTATGGGGAGCTTAGCAAATGTCAAGCAATACAGCATAACGTTTCCAAATTTCTGGCAGAGTCATTTACGTCATGGTGCACTTTTTCTCAGAGACAGTACACAACGGACATTACAATAAAGTGCAATTGACAAAATCATTAAAAAAAAAGTGCATGCACGAAACTAAAAATAAGATGGCGACAATTTACCTATTTACACTATATATATATATATATATATATATATATATATATATATATATATATATATATATATATATATATATGAACAAATATGAAATGTATATATATCAAGCCTTTTCACTTTTATTAAAGTTTTAATATACGTGAAACGTGTTAGATTAATATACGTTTCCTATTTGTTCTTTATTCCATCATCATATCAAATTCCGATCCACATACCATATTCAGTTGATGGTTAACTCTCTCTCTCTCTCTCTCTCTCTCTATATATATATATATATATATATATATATATATATATATATATATATATATATATATATATATATATATATATATATAGATAGATAGATATAAACAGTCCACACACATATGCATATATATATATATATATATATATATATATATATATATTACATAAAATAGAAATACAAATTTACCTCATGATATTATATTCCGCCTTAAATGTCCGAGTTTTAAGATGGAAATCCTTCACAATGGGCAGAAAAATAAATGAAAAAACGTAACTTATATATATATATATATATATATATATATATATATATATGGAAGAGAGAGAGAGAAATATATCAGGGTTTGGATTAAAGATTTCGCTGCACAAACACATTTCATATCTGTATGTCATATTTTATACGTTTTTGTTTCTTTTAAAATATTTATCTTATATTGAGCTATTTTTGGTTTAGTTTTAATATTTTATACTATTAAGTTAAGATTCACTTGGTTTATATTTTAACGGATTATTACCTATATATATATATATATATATATATATATATATGTGTGTGTGTGTGTGTGTGTGTGTGTGTGTGTGTGTGTGTGTGTGTGTGTGTGTGTGTGTGTGTGTGTGTGTGTGTGTGTAAGAGAGAGAGATGCAGAGAGAGATCGGTGTTTGGATTTAAGATTTCCCTGAACTGTCACATTTATATCTGCATATATATATATATATATATATATATATATATATATATATATATATATATATATATATATATATAGTTTATGCAAAACTAGGTAATCCGTATGGGTAGACCCAAGGAGGATGATATCCAGAGAGCTCAATGTAAATTCAGAGCAAATAAATTTGAATAAAACAGACCACCTTACACATTTTTGACGGGCCGTATTAAACATATGTAAATTAACGAAGTGAGGAAGTGAGGGGGGTGAGAGAGAGAAGACATGTGTGAGTTAGATGTACCATTTTAATTCTTTATCCTTAAGCTCACTTGGTGTGGGCCAGACGATTTTCAACAATTTTTGGCTTTGCATTGCATACTCTATATATTATGGTATAATAAGAATCTTTGTGACCAGTTTTTACGCAAAGAACAATGATTCTCACTTGTAATTTCTTAATTTTTTGCAGAGGTTAACATTTTTGTCGAAAAGATTTCTGGGGTATCAAT